CTCTTTCTTCCATTCACACGTAATTAGGTACATCTTCATATCAGCCTGCTAAAACACTTCTTTTGCTATTTTCTTCCTGTATGGAAGTGCTTTTTCTTAGCCCAATTTTCTTGTATGTAACTCGCATTTTATATAGCAAAGACATCATAAGGTCACTTGTCTGTGCTCTTATAATGCCTGTTCTAACTTACCGGTTCTACCTGAAATATGTTTAATAAACATTGCTTTATATCAATTTACTTTGTTTCTTTCTGCAGTATATGCAAAATCAGAATGTACCTGGCAACATTGAACTAACAGTGAATATTCTGACTATGGGTTATTGGCCAACCTACGTGCCTATGGAGGTCCATTTGCCCCCAGAGGTAATGAATATAGACGTATTGTACCAAGTATCAGACTATCAGTAATGCCTCTCAATATCAACTGCAACTTGGCTTTAAATATGCATCTGTGTGTCTCTAGAAAGAAATGCAGAAGTGTCTTTTTTAAATAAAGTTTTCTTCATCTTTCTAAGCATTTATTAAAGGCCTGTTTGGTTGTGGAGGAGGGAAGGGTGCTTTTAAAGTAGAAATTGTGTTTTAGTATTTTGGGTTTCTTCTTTTTTTTTTAGATGGTAAAACTGCAGGAGATTTTCAAGACCTTTTATTTAGGAAAACACAGTGGTAGGAAACTTCAGTGGCAGTCAACACTAGGACACTGTGTACTAAAAGCAGAATTTAAAGAGGTGAGTTTTCTCTTATTCCTGTTGCTTTGCCGATTCCAAGTCTGGGTTGTACCTTAGGGATATATCAGGAAGTTTTTTTGTGCTCTAATGGAAAACTTAGCACTGTTTTTGCAATTACTTTTAATTTTTGACCTCTTGCTGTCATTTCCAGAATTGGTAGTTTCTGAAATAGATGTATTAAGATCTAAGAAGATGCATCTGTTTTCTGTATCGGTGGGAAAAAAAATTGTTGGTTACTGCTTGGAGAAAATAAACAGTGGGTTTAGTTCCATATTAAAAATGGCACTAATTTTTATACTGTGGAGAAAAAAGTAAAGGGCCATGTTCCATAGATGACCTTACTTATCTGACAGCATTAAACATCTTTACATTAAGCTTTTCACTACACCAAATAAAGAAAAGTTTTGGATTGTACAAGAACACAGCTGTTTTTAAAGGGCCTCCAGTTACTCCCCTTCTGTGTTTCTTCATGGGCACAAACATATTTCAAGAAAACTTCTCTATTGCAATGGGAATGCTTACCAGTTCTGGTTTCCAGAAAAAATGTTAATGGTATTTATCAAACTCTGTTATTTCAAAGATTCTCTAGTTCCTAATACTATGTTTCTTAAACTAATGTTTATGTTACACTTTGACTTAAAGGTCTTTCAGATTGTAATTTTAAGCACTTAGTGCTTTGAGATTTGTCTTGAATAAGTTTATGCATATATTGGGTGAGTTTTGTCTGACCTCTAGTTTATTCTGCGTTTCATAGTAAACATGAGGTGACCAGTAACTTTTATTCTTTCATATTCCCAAATGAATAAACTAACAATCACATCCTTTAAGTGAAATAATTGACATACAAGAGTGACTTGTTCCTTCCTCCTCGCACACCACCACCCCACCACCACCCCCAAAAAAAACCAAAAAAGCCTAGTGATGTCTGTTAATTTCCTTTGTCACAGGGCAAAAAAGAACTTCAGGTCTCCTTGTTCCAGACACTGGTGCTGCTCATGTTTAATGAAGGAGAGGAATTCAGTTTAGAGGAGATAAAGCAAGCCACTGGGATAGGTTGGTATTGAAAACAGCTGACTACTTCCAAGTGTTCTTACTTAAAAAAAAACACTAAACAACTTGTTTCTGCTTTAGAGGACGGAGAGCTGAGAAGGACACTTCAGTCTCTGGCTTGTGGCAAAGCCAGAGTACTGACTAAAAGCCCCAAAGGCAAAGATGTGGAAGATGGAGACAAATTCACATGTAACGATGATTTCAGACATAAGCTCTTCAGGATAAAGATCAACCAAATTCAGATGAAAGAAACGGTATATGCTTTTTAATTCTCTGAGGTTTAGATCCTTGGGTCAAGTATCTTGTTGCCTGCCCATTTACAAGGCTTTTTTTCCTCTCGGTTGCAACATACGTGCTGATATCTTTGTAAAAGTTACACGTATGATTTGGATGATAGCACATACCTAACCATGCAGACTTAAATGTGTGCTTCCGTGCTAACTTAGACACCAGTGGTGCTAGATGTCTCTAAAGAAGGTTGTTTTAAGAGCAGGTCCAATTAGCAAATGTACTTTTCACTCTTGACCGTTCCCTGGAGCTTTACTGAATGGTTTGTGAACAGAGAAACAAGTTCACAGTGAATTTTCCCTGACAGCCATCCAATGTAAAACATGTGCAAAGATTTTAATTCCTTGTATAAGTGGTTTTTTTTAGTAATTGGCCTTCCTGCTTTTAAAGGATTTAATCAAATATTTGACAACAGACATTTTACTGTCTTATACTGAAAATTGTCTTAGAGATATGAAGAATAATTGTTTTGACAGTTCTAGTGTTCTCTTTAAAACTTCTCTCTAAATGGATCCTTCAGGTGGAGGAACAGGCAAGCACTACAGAGAGAGTATTCCAGGATCGGCAATACCAGATTGACGCTGCAATTGTACGAATCATGAAGATGCGCAAGACACTGAGTCATAACCTGCTTGTGTCAGAGGTCTACAACCAGCTTAAATTCCCAGTAAAGGTACTGATTTTTCTTTTTCTAAAACTTTATTACTACTTTTTTATATTCCCTGGCCTGTCCTCAGTTAAACAGTGCTTCTGTCTAAATCACACATCTTTTTACTATTAGGGAGAACAAATACTCACTTTTGGGAATTTTTAAAAGGGCCAACTGTATTCGTTTATTTGAAATATTACCTCGGGCTTTTAGTAAGTCATTAAAACCTATTACCAAAGGCTTTCAGAACCAGAGTCTGTTAGCAGTAACTGTGAAGCTAGCTCTCCTTGTACGCTGTTCTTCTTGCATTTAAGTGTTCTGGCAATGCACTCATGGGGACAAGGCGAAAACGGTTCAGATACATAATGCAGAATTGGTTTTGAGTCTTAATTTCGTTGCTACTTTTTAATAAATCAGTAACCAATAAATGTACAGTGGTTTTTCCAGACAGATTGTATTGGTAAATATATACACATATTTATGGAATGAAAATTAGATACTGGTGAATGTCTCACGCTACAGAAGCCCATAGTTGCAACATAAAATTAATCGCTTATTGTGTACTAATGGAAATGGATTTTCAAATAGACAGTGATTCATCTGTTTGAATTCAAATATGCAATGGTTTCTGTCAATGGAAACGTAAAATAAAAGGTACTGCCGTCTCATTCTGTTTTGTTACCATGTGAAGTTCCTGCAGGCCTGTAAGGATTGTATAAACTGCAGTTGGGCTTTGCAGGGTTATAACGGATTATTTGAGTGCTTTTCCTCATTCTCTGTCATTTTTATAAAAGTCCTTCAACCAACAAAATCATAGGGCACCCAAACTGTTTGGAAAACTCACTTGTGTCAAGATAAAATGAAACTTGTACCATATTTACCAGGTAAAAGTCAGAAATGGAAACACTTTGGTACATAATGCATTAATTGCAGTTCTTTAAAATAAGAGTTGAGTTCAAACAGCAGCAAATATCTTACGCTGCTATAAAAAGTCTATGCTCAGCTGCAGGTGACAAGCTAATTTTCTAACTTTCTCTTCAATCAATTACACATTGCAGACTTCAGAAGCTTTGATGCTTTAAGGGATTTCTTTTTTTTTTTTTTTTTTTCTTTCCCAAACTGATTCTGTTTCCTCCGCCATCTTAAACAGTAGTCTGTTTGCCTTAAGTAGAAATAAAGAACCAAGAAACATTGACTGCAAAGTAATAATACTAACATCTGCTTTATTTTACAGCCTGCTGACCTTAAGAAGAGAATAGAATCCTTAATTGACAGGGACTACATGGAAAGAGATAAAGAAAACCCGAATCAGTACAACTATATTGCATAAACATATGTTGGCCTTTGTTTTACTGCACACTTGGTGTCATACACAGTTGCCAGTGGATAAACTAGCCTGTTGATCCCGTTAATTGACTTTTTATACTACCGATGATTGAATGAAAGCAGTGTAATGGAAAAGTATAGTAGAGTGGACTTCTTTCAGTGGTTAACATGCCCATTTAAAGAGTACTATTTACATTTTAAGAAGAATGCTGTTGAACTCTTTGCATGTTATTTAGTAAGATGTGCAGAAAGCTGAAAGAAAGTACCTGGTCTTTGTGATTCCATTTGTCTCTGGGTCTGAAGAGGAGTCCCTTGATATATGACAGATGTCTTTCACACCTTTAAATGGAAACAGAAGGTTAATTAATATAAGAAAATAGCCTTTAAAATGCTTAAACTGCATGCAAACTTTTAATTTACTGTACAGAATGCGTTTCAGTTAGTAACATGCCATTGGTTTGGTTGATGCCCACACTTGGATTTTTCCCTTGAGGGAGGGAAAATGGGGAATAAGCCAAGCTACGCTTATTGCTGATCTAATGGAGAATAATCTCAGTCGCAATCAAGACAAAATGGTACCAATATAAAGCGATGTATAAAGTTTGCAGTGTGGGCATGTATACTGTATATACAAACACCATTCTTAAATAACTGCTACATCAAAACAAGTTCAGATTAGATTTATATGGCTTGCCTATAAGACTTAGTGTTCACCTTTGGGAATAATAAGCATAAAACAGCCATAATGGAAAAAGTGACAGTTTTTACTAGTCATGGGTAGGAGGCCTTCACCTCTTGGCAGCAATACTCTAGAAAAGAGAATCTATTTACAGATATCTATGAAAAGCCACACTGTTCTTGTGGTAAAGCTGTAAGAACAAAAATTACAAATGGATTTTAATACTTGTTTTGCTTTGCAGCATTCTAAACTTGAACTAACCTCAAGGTTTAGACAGGGCAGCTCTTCTCAGACTGCCCTGCTTTGGATTGCTTTAACTTAAAGCTTTAAGAACTCAGCCCTAGATGTGGCAGGCCTCCTAGAACCCAGAAGCCTACCTCTCATATAGAAAGTATTGCTACAAGGCATCTAAAATATATTTTCTTAGATGACCAGAGAGCATTCTTTGCATCTTTATAAGACATGGGAGAATAAGTCACTTGAATGTAGAGCTTTGTTTCAACAAAACGCATTTTTTTTTTATTGCTATAGCAGCATGTGCCAGGAATATATGGGAAAAAAAAGTGTCAGCAGAAAAGGTAACTCCTCCACATAACAGTTCTTCCTTACCCAGCCAGGCTTTAGACCTACGATTAGCTGTGTTGCAGAGCACAATGAAAAACCTCATCCTCTTTCAGGCACTGATAGTCCTGGGGAATACCAGATATTTCTTGAAAGCAAGATGTTACTTTTGTGTAATGGCAGTGTAACTTAGCTCTCTATGATCTATAACTTCTATCACTGTGATCCCGCATTCAGGGGCGTGCATGTGCAAGAGAGGGAGAGTGTGTGTATGTGTGTGTATTTTGTATCTGACACATCCCATCCTTACTGCTTTTTTGATCTACTGTTTAATTCCATATTTTCTCAAGCTCTTTCATATGCAGTCCTCAGCTGACAGATGAAGCAGGTGGTTTTTTCTCCTACTAAATTATTTGCTGTCACCTTCTACTAACTGTCATATAGCTCTTTGTGATCTGCAGAAAATCTACCTTCTCCTTTGACACTATTGCAGCATAACCACTGGTAGACATCCAGGACCACCCTTGCCTCTGTAAGAAAAATACTAACAGTAGAGTTATCTGGTAAGAAACTTGAAGACTGCTCCTGCGAATCTTTAAGTGTTAGTTCAAATAGAGATCCACTGGGGAGAAAAGAATGCCCCCCCAAAAAAAACCTTCTGTATTTTGCATTCAATGTTCCTTTTTCTTGTATGTGTTTTGTATCTTTAGCCAATAAAAGATTCCTTTTTAAAAGGTGTTTTGGAGAAGGAGCATAAAACTTAACTCTCTGGGAGACAGGAGATGATGAATATCAGTATTGAACCAGTTCCATTCAGTCTGTTGTAGCATATAAATCTAACACCACTACGTGTTTAAAATGCCTATTCTGGTAAAATCCTCCCTCATTAGACAAGTGTGTTGCATTCAGTCAAACTAACTAGAAAGGTCTGAAGGTTCAATTTTTATCCCATCCATTTCAGTAACTTAAACGCAGAAAATACGATATAGAAAATGTCCTCAAATCCCATCAGACTTCCACGATCTGAGGCAGACCCTAAGTGGCAATCTAGTTAAAGCAACCCAAAGAATGGACTTTGAGAACCCTGGCTAGGCCGAGAGGGGGGGTGAGAAAGGGGAGGGGAGAAGGCTTCTCGTATCTTCATGGGTTTTCCCCAAGAACTTGTTCATCTCTTCTGCTAAGGTCTTGCTCATTCCTGGTTAATGACAAAGCTGCAGCCAAGATTTATTGTCCAGCCGTACAACTCCGCAACTTCTTGCTGGGATCATGTGCCTGCCTATTGAGCCATATATATCTCTGTAAGAAAAAAATTGAAGTGGGCTTGGACCACAACTCATCTGGCTATAACACAGCTTGTCTGTTTGGCCACACATTTTTAATCTTGACTCTTGCATGCAGTTTATAGCACCTTGTTCATAAGAAATTGCAGTTTATTCTTAGAAATATATATTTTAGGTTTTTTAATCTTTATACCCATAAATGGACTATTTTTTTGTCTTGGCTGGTTTAAAAAAGTGACCATTTTGTTTAAATGCTATAATTGCAAATGTGTTGTAAACGTTGTTTTGTTCTATAGTTTACACAAAGGTGCCAAAGTAAATAGTTAATAAAAAAAAAAACAAACCCTAGCAAATTAAGTTGCTTTAGCTGTTCTTCATATTTTGGTCTCTGCTTTTTTTTTTTTGTCAGTCTTTCATTTTTTTCCTAGACATATCATTTGTCCTAATGCTTTCTTTTAAAAAAAAAAAAAAGTGCATCTGAAGAAATGTTCAAATACCACTTTTTTTAGTGATTTCATATAGTAGGAAGAATATTTTCTTTGAAACGTTACACTAAAATTGTAAGAGTACAGCAGCATTCAAAAATGTAATATACTTTTTGTATAACAGTTCTTCAGAGTATGTCTGGAGTGGGGGGAAGAAACTAACCCTGTTACTTTTCAGAAGCCTCTTCACTCGGCTACCAGAATATAAAATTGTGCTTTTTCACTGCATCAAAAAGTTACAGTTTATGCAGACTTGCAAACAGGGCATGTATCACCGTTGCATCCTTCGATGCAAAAAGCAGCAAAACCTTTTTTATGTTTCATAAGTCTGATATGGGTACAGAGAGTCTTTCTTAAGTTGGTAAATAATGTAAATACATGTCCTTTCAGAGAGTGAGTCTGTTATCTAGGTATTTTGTGTCATTTAATAAATATTAAACAGTTTTGTGTTGATAAACTCTTGTGTGTAAAATGCCTTCTTACTCAAAGTTCTGTATGTTGGGCTTACTAATGTTTGTGGCTTTTTAAAATTCTTTAGCTTGTGCTTTGATAGCAAAATAAGTGTTTGCTACTTAAATATAGTAATAACTAGTTCCTTCTTCATTCAGTCATTAAAATCCCTTGAGTTTTCTAAGTGGCTTCCATTCCTGAATTATTTTTTTTTTACTAAGGTTATTGGAGGGGAAGGAAATAATCACTAGGTATTTTGTGTCATTTAATAAATATTAAACAGTTTTGTGTTGATAAACTCTTGTGTGTAAAATGCCTTCTTACTCAAAGTTCTGTATGTTGGGCTTACTAATGTTTGTGGCTTTTTAAAATTCTTTAGCTTGTGCTTTGATAGCAAAATAAGTGTTTGCTACTTAAATATAGTAATAACTAGTTCCTTCTTCATTCAGTCATTAAAATCCCTTGAGTTTTCTAAGTGGCTTCCATTCCTGAATTATTTTTTTTTACTAAGGTTATTGGAGGGGAAGGAAATAATCATCCTCGCAAACTCTGAGTTGGGAGTAGAACGTGTAGAAGTGCCAGAAATGGTACAAAAATACCAAAGGTGGTGGCTTGTTGTTTAGTAGAGGCGGCTACTCTCCTGCGCTATGATTATTCCTTGTCTCCCAGTACAGTTAGTAATATTTTTAATGGCTCTGGTACAATCACTGAAGTACAACGGACGGGGCCGGACAGCGAACTTGCTTTTGTTGATGATGGCCAACTGGGCCTTTTCTTAATTTTTCTTCAGCCATTTGGAACTGCTGGACTAAATCTGAGCAGAATTTGTCAGAAATATCCAGCTCAGCCCTTCCTGGTGCAGGCACTCTGAGGGCTTAGTGGAGAGGTTTAATTTTGCTTTCTGAGCTCTGGGGGGGTGGTTTGGAAACACCGTTGGCTGTAGCAAAGCAAGTGCTGATCCTCCAAACTCCTCTCTGTTGAAGGCTTGCATGCACTGCAGTGGGGCTGACCTTCCACAGCACTGCTCTAATGCCAAAACTTCCCTAGTGCATGGTGGTTTTAAATAGGTATGGTAATGAGTGTCTTCCACTAATACTGCTCAGGTGCTTGCTTTCTCTTGTTATAGCTTGGAGGCATCTAAATGTCTGGGATGGATTTTCCACTAACAATTTCTCCTTAAAGAGAGTGTTTCCTACTTCCTACCTTCTCCATAATCCTATGGAATTTTGTTGTTTAAAAGAAAAAATCCTACAGAAGCAGATGGCTATTTGGAGGTTGATAGATCTTCTGCCTGCTCTGAGAAAAAAACAAGCAGTAAATACTTTTCATTTTTGTTACTGGATGAAGTGCAATATATGTTACTGTATTTTCTCCTGATTTTGAGAGAAACTTGGTGCCATATCAAATTGAAGACAGTAGCTTTTGGATTTATTTTTTTTTCCAGCCCTTAATGAGGCAAGGGCTTGCAGATGTACCGTGCTATTTAGAAAATGAACACCTCAACTTTGTTGAGGAGCTGAGGGACGTTGGACTTTGTGCAGAGGGTATCTTGTACAATATGGAGTTAAGTGGGAAGTGGAGCAATGGATGTTGATCAACCTACAATGGAGCAGGTTTTTCTTCTGGCTGTGTAACTGCTTCCTGATACAAGGTCATCTTTAAAATTACTTTTACCACTTGTCTTGCTGCTGCTTATGGGAAATAAGCATTAGGATATAAATGAAAGAAGAAAAGTAGCTTTAAAATTTAATTTTCTAAAATCAGTAAGACATTGCAGCACCGTAGATAAACCCCTTTTCTTAAGCTTAGGAAAGCTTAAGCAAATGCTAAATTTTTATTGATTGTTACAGATCTGTGCACACCAGCCACCATAACGGGGTCTGACCCCAGGATCGCCCTGAGAATGACAAGTCCTAGTGAAGGCTTCCAATTAGTCTTTTATTAGTTTTTCTGGTTACAGCTCGAGCTGGGTGCCTCGAGAGAGGGACCCCCACCCCATTTCATGCCTCTCAATTATGCCCGTACCACCCATCACCTCACCCCCAAGCCCAATCACTTAATTATGGCCGGCAGTCTCTTGATTTCTTACTGGTTTTCACTGTTGCTTGGCTGGCTGCCTTCTGAAGTTACTTCATTCTCTTGGAATTGTCTCTTTGGTCCTTATCTTCTTCATTCCACTCGTATCTGCTGAATTCGGCGTGTTCTTTGTGAGCAGCATTAGTTTTATCAAAAGTTTACCCTTGGTCAGCTCTTGCCACCTAAGGCTTCAGTGACTTCAGCTGCTGATGCTAGGCCACTGGTGCTAAATGAAACTATTTCAGAGAGAAGAATACACTTAATCAAATTTCTCCTATAACACTGATAGTTCTTTATCTTACTCCTTAAAAAAATCAGATGTTTGTCAGCTTGAAATACCATATTATTACTGAAATACTGTATTTTAGGGCTGGAGGAAACTAGGGATGTCCTTAGCTACTTCTGTGTTGAAATGTCTAAGTAATCTTAACTTGCTTTTGCTACAGAATTTTGCCTTTTCAAAAAAGTATAAGTCTAGAGGTTCTGCTCCATCTAATGATATTTTCAGCAACAAGGCAGTTGCAGTAACTGCTTTTCCAGTAGATCCAACATTTAGCTGCTTTATGCAATTAAGGCATAGAGAGGGTCAGGCACTGGACTCCCTGGTAATGCTTAGGCCACTGCAAGGCTCAAGGGTTGTAAAGCTGCTTTGCAAAGCTTAGTCACTATGACTTTGCAAAT